CACTACCAGCATGCCAATCAACCAACGTGACATAGGTCCCGTTTGGTAGGCCTGTGATAAAATGATTATAACTTATAATTTAATAATTTATAATTTGTAACTGTGAACATAAGTTAATTTTTGACTTCTAAATTAAGTTTTTCCTCCCTCACTCAAAGAATAAGTTAATTTTTAACTTACAAAAAGCTATAAATTATATTATTAAACTAAACCAAACATATCAAAATAACTTAAATTAAATTAAAAATTAAAATAAATTGAAAATAAACTCTACCAAACAGGGCAATAATCACAATGACCACTGTAATTGACACAATTTGAACCTTTTACTTGATTAGTGTCACTGTTGAACTGATGTTATCTACTATTGTTGTTATGGGTGTTTGGAAATATAGCGACCCCGGTCTTTTCCCATTTGATTATTGTATCCGGACTTGGGTTCCGTTTATTCTGTCATTATATATTCGTTGTTGTCGTCTTTTATTTTCGCATTCGGAGTTATGGGATATGTTGGGCAGGTTTGTTTCAGGTTGGTTGGGTTCGTAAACCAAGTGTTGCTATCCAGTTTTTGAGTTGGTCGCTCGAGCCAGGGATTTGTCGCTCGAGCGAGGGTTGTATTTTGTGTCTTCTAGCTCGATCCAGCTTTGTTTCGCTCGAGCGAGCGACTGCATCTGGTTTAGACCTGAGGGTAGTGCTTATTCGCTCAAGCGATATCTTCTTCGCTCGAGCGAGCGAGGTGTATGTTTTCGAGTTCCTAGCTCGAGCGAGCATTCTGTCGCTCGAGCGTGCTCTAGGGTTGCAGACCTGAAGCATTGCATTCTTGGCTCGAGCGAGATTCTCTTCGCTCGAGCGAGTATTTCTTGTTTCTGGTCACTCGAGCGACCATGTCTTCGCTCGAGCGAGCCTGTCCAGTTTATATACGCAGCAGCGGGTTTTGATCAGTCTTTTTCATCTTCTTTTTGATTCCAAACCCTAGGTCCGACTTCTCTCTCCATCTACTCACCTTCTCTCTTAGGTTTGATCTACTTAGAGTGCGTTTCTACCTTAGATCCTTTATTAAAAAGATAGAGTGAGTCGAGGGCTTCCATTTAATCTGAATAGTTGGCGATTTGGAGCACTTTGGTATTTGGGTATCATCTCTGTCTTCTCCATTTGGGTTGTTTTCTTCGAGGTAGGGATTTCCTACTCCATTTTATAAGTTTTGTTCTAAGTTTTGGTATTTTGATATGTTGGGATTACTTTGATAATTTTGAGAAAAACCCTAGTTGTAATAATTAATTAATTTGTATAATTAATTTAAGGGAATTGAGGAATTTGGTTAAATTCATGAAATTGGGAAATTATTGATCAAATGGTGTAGTTGGATAATTTAAATCACTCGCCTATTGGATTGTTGTTATAGTTATTTTCAAGTCTAGAAATAACTGTTTTGGGCTATCGGTGGAGGATAGTCGTGATTGTTGTAGACAATGCATGTGGATTAGGTATAACTGAAACTAATCACATTAGTTGAGTCATTAATTTTTGACTGTTGAATTAATACAGACATTATGTGTATTGATTGTGTGATGTATATGTTATGTGTTTACATACTTTGTTTTGTGTGGGATGAGATATGGGATGTACTCCACGGTTTAGGGGAAGATAGGGGATGGACCTCTAAACCGGATTTTGTTTGGGAGGAGATAGGGGATTGACTCCATTAGAATCACTTTTATGTGTGCTTATTTATATTGAAGTGTTTTGTTGATACAGCACTAAAATGTGTATCAAATTGAAAGTATGAAGTGTTTTGGTTTGAGCCTGAGTCTCATTCGTTTGTTGATATTGGAAGAATGTGAATTTGATATATATAGTACACAGTTGTAAGTTTGGCTAGGTTCTGAGCTATGTTGAATTAATTGGAAGGTAAAACGGGTCTTAGACATTAATGTCATGAAACTGTATAAAGATATAACTGATTATCTTGGTTAACCAATTATTGAATGCTATTGCTTTATTCAATGCTTATATTTGGTTTAGTATATTTCTGCTGGGTTGTGGCTCACCCTTTATGGGAACATCATTTTCAGGTCCAGGTGATAAGCTACCTCCCAGGACTTAGCTTGGAAGGATTTGGATTTTGAAGACTATCATTAGTTGTTTGTTTTTATTTGATAAATAATCAAGCCTAGGGCTTTAATTGTATTTGAGTTGGAACTCATATTTTGTATCCAAGTGTTGGCTTGGAAAGATGTAAGCCCATAGGGCATTTAATTTGATATTACATGTAATGTTTTTGTTTAGTAATACTCTGATGAATGAATTAGTAAATTGTTTTCTTTAAGTAATGCATGTTGATGATATACATATAATGGGTTTATTTTGAGGGCGTTACAGGAAAATTATTATTTTAATAAATTATTTTAGTTTTGACTATTTTAATAAGTTAAAATTTTTATATTTGAAAAAATAATTAAATTTTTTGTAATTAGATGTGATATTTGTAAAAGAAAAAGTGAAATAATTATGAATTTAAGGTGATATTTTATCTTATTGAATATTTTAATCTATTTTATCATTTTATAAATTTTAGCCGAAGCTAGACTAAAATTTTTAGTTAATTATCTATAAATTAGATTTCATCAAACTATAACTCTTTGTGAACTATTATTTCTAAATCTTTTTGTTAAATTTCGCTGTGCGATCTCTTTACTGCGAAGACGAAGGATGAACCACAACCCAATCTCATCAAACTATAATTCTTCTTAACCACCACAATATTTCCATCACTTCTAACTGTCAACAAACCTCTACACCACTTTGTAAGAGGAAAGGAAATACAGAGGGCAATGGTTTTGGCAAGAAAAATTTGAACTTTTTTTAGGTTAAAATTACAAAAAGATAAAAGCTTCTTTTGGGAAGTGGGTTATAATCTACTTCTTAGATTATAACTCACTTCTTCTCTCACAAAAAAGTTGCTTATAAGCTTTTATAAACAGTTTTTTTATCAAAAAGTTGATTATAACAACCTTCTCAAAATAGTCCAAAATAAGTTAAAATAATTTGTAAGACAAGATGTCACATCAACCATAATCATTTTATCTTTTCTTTTATAGCCATCACATCCAATTTTTAAAAAATCTAATCATCTTACTAAGGGTTGTTTTGAGAAGATGGTAAAAAGTAACTTTTTGACTTTTAACCAAGCTTTTGGCTTTTTTAGACAAATGATTTGGGAAGTTGGTAAAAAGTGACTTTTGACTTTTTTGATTAATATTTGTTTATGATGTCAAATCATAATAAAATGACTAAATTACCCCCATTTATTTATAATATTTACAACTGAACCTATGTAACACATTGTGACCCATGAGGGGTAAAATTGTAATTTCACCGTTGGCTAAAAACCAACTTGCCAAATGAAAAAAAAGCCAAAAAAGCCAACTTTTGGCTTTTGCTACTAACCAAAAAAAGTGACTTTTAGCCAAGTTCCCAAAATAGCCCTAAATATAAAAATTTTAACCTACTAAAATAATTAAAAATTAAAATAATATACCAGAATAGTAACTTTCCAAACATGATAGAAGAGAGTTGTAATGTAAATAGAGAAAAGTGGTGGAAGTAGCCTTGCAAAAGAAAGAAAAATGAAAATGGAAAAGGGGGAGGAGCAAGGCCGGCCCTGGGGCATGAGCCACAAGGTCATGGCCCAGGGCCTTCAAAATTGACTAAAAAAAGAAGACCTCCTCTATTATAATTTACTGCAATATATTAGATATATTTTAAGTTTAAAAAAATTTAAAAAGACTCAAATTAACTTAAAATAAATTGATCCATTAAAAAATTGAAAGATCATTCAAAAAAATTAGCATTGTTATCTATTGAAAATAGACCCAAAAAAGGGGTTTCTCTTATTATAGTTTAGTCTAATATATTAAGTATATTTTTAAGTCCAAAAAAAATTAAGGAATGTCCAAATTAACTTAAAATAAATTAATCTATTAAAAAATTGAAAGGCTCATTTAAAATAATTAATATTGTTATTCATTGAAAATGATTTTACAAAAAAATTAGATTATACAAATATGATTGATTTATTTGCTTCTAAAAATACAAGAAGATAGAGGATCGAACGATACTTATTAGTTATTATAATGTAATGCTAAATATTTTTTGTGATTTTGACACAAATTTTTTGTCTTTTACTTTCAATTTTTTTTTCATTCAATAAAAAAAAATATAAAAGACTCCAGAAATTTTTTAATTGATTATCCACTTTAAGTTCTGAAAATCTCAAGGCCAAGCCTAGGGAGAGGATGAAATTAAAAAGAGAACGGCCCACTGCACTACCTGAAAATATATATATTTTTGACTAAATAAACTAAAAAATATAACTATGAAATTTAAAAAGCCAATTTTCTCATATATTTGGCAAGATTGATGATATACAAATAATTTTTTTATAGATATATAATGATATGACTTAATATATATGTTTCACCTCAAAACAAAATATTTAAAATAAATTTATTTATAATAATAATATTAGCACATTATTTTTTGTAAATATATATATGTATAAATTTTAAGTAAAAATAAAATTTTCCTTTTAGCAATTACGAATTGCATCAATTATCTTATACTCAAAATAAAAAATAAGAAATAATTAGTAAAACAACTGTGAAATTCAATTTAAAAAAAAAAAAAAAAGTTATAACGAAATGGCATAATTGAAATTTTATTCTTTAAAATTTAAAATATGCACGACATAACTAATTTTTACCTATGGACAAACGAAATGTGTAACAGATAGTGGGTCTAAGTATTAAAGCCATCGAAGCAATTAAAAAAGTATTAAATCATATGCTAAAAATATATTAAAAAATTATTAAATCATATGCTAAAAATATAATATTAATTAATATTAATATAAGGTCGTTTAGCATTTTCTTTGAATTTGGAGAAATGTCGGTCTCATCTAACAGAAAAAACAAAATGAAGAAGAAGAAGAAGCTGCGTGGTTGTTGAGCTTAGCTTAGCTTAGCTTCTCTCTCTCTCTCTCTTAAATGAAGCTATTTCTCTCTCCTCCTCCATTTCTCCCCCATATTCAGCTTTCCCACCTCGATTTTCTCTCTCTAGACTTCTCTCTCTCTCACTAAGATTCCGCTTTTTGTTTCTCCCCTTTTTTTTCTCTCTCTCCCAAAATCAGCCTCTGTCTATGCATATCTATACATGTGTGTATATATATTTATAAATTATTTCTTGTCTTCACCATCAATTTTCGCTCTCTCTCTCTCTCTCTCTCTCTCTGCAATTCTGTGAAGAAATAAATTTGTATTTTTGAATAATTTTTTGTTTTTTGAGGAAGAATTCGTGATGCCGGCTGCGGCTTCAATCGAGCCGGCGGTTCCGGAATCTTCGTCAGTATGTTCTTCGCCATTGTGGCGCGTTGTTCCAGAAGGATCTTCCACCGAGAATCGTCGTTTCGCCGATCTCAGAGGTGTTCAGTGGCGTATCGATTTGGGGATTTTGCCCTCTTTATCTTCTTCCTCCTTCGATGATCTTCGCCGAGTTACCGCTGATTCTCGTCGGAGGTACTCTCTCTCTTTGTGTTTTTGATTTTGGGTTAATTTCATTTTTATCTTCTAAACTATACCCATTTTTTAAATTTTATCTTTAAGCTATAAAGTTTCTGATTTTTGTTCTTGTCCGATTGGAGATGATTGTATAAATCTTTAATGGTTAAAGTCTAATTTCATAGGCAAAAAAAATTATTTTTTATTATGCCACCAAATACCCATTTTTTAAAATTATTTTTAAACAAATTACTAACTCCATACCCAACTTCTAATGGTTGTTTGGTTCTATGATTTTAAGTTGTTTAAATTATAAAATGATGTTTTGTCCATGATTTGTACAAATTGATGATAGGATGAAATAGAAAAAATGTTTATAGTTTAAGAGATAAAAAATTGAAATTAATTTTTTTATTTTTTTTTATTTTTTAACATATAGGTCCTGTTCTTGTCTTTGTAATTTGTAAGTGATGCTGTGCTTGAAATTACATTTATGGAACTGTTTGTAATTTGTTGATGGCTTCAAAGATCAGCTGGGTCATCTTGAAAATTTCTTGAAATGTGTTTTTAAATAGGCAATTTTGAGTTTATAATTTTTCATTTTACTATTTCTTGTTTTGAGATTACTGTTGATTATCATCATAACCCAGAAATAAATTGGGGGAATTTGTATGTAAATCGTTGGTGATTATATCTTATTTAGTTTCTTCCTTGTAACTTAATAAAGTTTCCATTTGGGGTTCCTTTTGTGTATGGATTGTAAGTGCATTAGCTTATGAACTTATCAATTGGGTGCCAATTGGTGTTTATACAGACATAGAGTGCTCGTGTATTTTGTTTTGTCAGCAAAAACAGATTGAGCTGCTTGATCTACCCAAAGTTTTTCAGAGTTTTTATTTTTCTCGTATATTTCTTTTTTAATTCTTGGAAAGTGCATATCTGTGCTTTGTATTTTCAAAAGCAATTTCCTCCAAAATCTAAAGATTTTGTTAGTCTTTTTTTTTTTTTTGAACCTAGCCATTTGGAACCTTTGCCATAATGTAAATCAAATGCATTAATATTTTTACTTCCAATGCATGGATGTTATTTTTGTAAGATGATTAAGTAGCTTTGTTTGGATCCTCTTTTTTAATGGGCTTTTCAATTTGGCATTTGATTTTTTTATTAGTTTTAGCTCTTGTTAAAAAGGCCAAAAAGCAAAACACCCCCCCCCCCTGCCCCGCGCGGGCGCGCGTTACAAAGTAGAAAATTGAAGGCGAGTTCATAAAAATGCTGAAAGCAAGACCTTAAAATGAGTAACAAAAGCGAAGTTGATACAAACAAAGCTGCTACGTAGATTTGATTCCAATGAAATTTTTTATGGAAATTACCAGTTACGGTTAATGCTAATTTATTACATTCATACAAACAAAGCTGCTACCTAGATTTGATTCCAATGAAATTTTTTATGGAAATTATCAGTTACGGTTAATGCTAATTTATTACATTCTAATGTGGCTTGTTGGATAATTTTAATTGGTCTTATCCAGATATGCTGGTTTGAGGAGGCGTCTCCTAGTTGAGCCACACATTCCCAAGGATGGAAGCAATTCTCCTGATCTTGTTATGGATAACCCGCTGTCACAAAACCCAGGTTGAATGTCTAAACCTCTCTTGAGGATTTCCTTGACTTCGTATCTATTAAGCTTGTGGCCTTAATTAATACTTACAATTGCTGCCTTGCTAGATGCCACTGTTGCTATTCTGGTGGCTAGTTTCTATAAGACTTTCATATTGAGATACGATTTAGTTATCTATCAAGGAAGTTAGTTGCATCACAATGTAACAACACCTCCTCCCCATCTCAAACCACTCTGAAAAAAAAGGAGGAGAAAAAATCTACTGTGGGAACTGAGAAGATGAAAAGAAGGTTTATCAAAACAGCTATATACTACGGCAGTCTTGGAGGCACGGACACCTCCAAGAAGGTGCATATCCGTGTCCGTGCTTCTTAGATGGCAATGCTCCTACAGATTTATGATTGAATTGACTCGCTCTTCATTGAATGTTGTACTCAGCGTTTTTTATGATTATGTTGTGCAGATAGCATTTGGGGACGCTTCTTTCGGAATGCTGAACTGGAGAGAATGGTTGACCAAGATTTGTCCCGTTTATATCCTGAACATGGAAGCTACTTCCAGACACCGGGATGCCAAAGCATGTTGAGACGTATTTTGTTGTTGTGGTGTCTTAGACATCCAGAATATGGCTACCGACAAGGTGGGTTTTATTGTTTTCACTAAAGTCATGAATTTTTCTTTGGTTTTATTTTTCATTTTTTTAAAGGCAATACTTTCTGTTCTCACTGAACAATGAAAATTCAAATGAAATTTGTAAATACAAAATGGAATATCCTTCTTTCTTCTGGTCAGAATGAAAAGCTAAGGATATGTGTTGGTTATGTTTTTGTTTTTATTTTCCAGAAGAATAAATTAAAATTGTTTGGCAAATTGTTTTTGAAACTGTACCCACTTTTTAGAAAGCACCAAAAAAGTTAATTTCAAATTTCAAAATTTTTTTTCGCACAAAAATGAAAACGATATGAAAACTCTAGGACACGTATGCACACAAACTCCTCATTTTTCGAAGGAAGATTGTTTTACTGCATGTTTTGTTTTACCTTTTCTTCTGGTTTGTCAACAGGAATGCATGAACTCTTGGCTCCTCCGTTATACGTTCTGCATGCTGATGTGGAGCATCTTTCTCAAATGCGAAAGCTCTATGAAGACCAATTCGTTGATAAATTTGATAGCTTCACATTTGACGAGAGTGATTTAACATATAATTTTGATTTTAAGAAGTTTTCTGAATCTGCACAAGATGGGATTGGCTCACAAACACGTCCAGTGAAGGTTAGCAGTCTTGATGAACTTGATCCCAAGATACAAGATCTTGTATTGCTTAGCGATGCTTATGGAGCTGAAGGTGAATTGGGGGTTGTCCTGTCCGAGAAATTTATGGAGCATGATGCTTATTGTATGTTTGATGCTTTGATGAGTGGGGCCGGAGGTGCAGTTTCCATGGCGGAATTTTTCACACCTTATCCTTTAACCGGCTCACATACTGGGTTACCTCCTGTGATTGAAGCTTCTTCTGCATTGTACCATCTGCTTTCGATTGTTGATGCGTCTCTTCACAGTCACCTTGTTGAGCTCGGGGTAGAACCCCAGTACTTTGCACTCCGCTGGTTACGGGTTTTATTTGGGCGTGAGTTCACACTTGAGGATCTGTTAATAGTCTGGGATGAAATATTTGCATATGATAATAGTAAAATAAGTGATTATGCTGATGATGATGGGTCCACCTTTGCGGTCCTCAGTTCACCTAGGGGAGCATTCATTTCAGCTCTTGCAGTGTCGATGATACTTTACCTGAGATCTTCCCTACTTGCTACCGAGAATGCTACTACTTGTCTTCAGAGATTGCTGAACTTTCCAGCCGACATAAATCTGAAGAAAATAATAGCAAAGGCAAAATCTTTGCAGGTTCTAGCACTGGATGCTAATAAGTCTACACCATTGCCAATGCATACTGGGGCTTATTTTGACCGAAGTAAATCAGTGGCTGTGAGAGGTCATAGCCTATCATCAGGTTCTACTTCTCCAAGAACTCCTCTGAGTTTGGTACCCGACAGCTATTGGGAAGAAAAGTGGAGAGATCTGCACAAGGCAGAACAACTTAAACAAAGTAGTTTAGAAAAACAAGTGCCTAAACAAAAAAAGGGTTGGTCGGAAAAAGTGAGAGTGAGTCTATCTAGAGCTGAATCTGACCCATCCCCATCAAAGGTTGACAGCAGTAAAAAAGAACCCGAACCATCCGTGAGAAGAAGTTTGCTGGAGGATTTGTCCAGGCAGCTTGGATTGGAGGAAGATTCAGCAAAAATATTATGTAATGAAGATTTGGGTCAGAAAGACGTTGCTGAAGAGGGATGTTTGAGTGGCAATGGTGGCAGTGAAGAGAACTCTTGTACTTTCTCAGATTCACCAAGTCCTAATTACCAAGAAAATCAATCTGAGAGAAGTAGTGTTGCGTCAAATTTATTTATTGATGAAAATGATGATGAATCCAACAATGTTGAGTTGTGTAGGACCCTTGAGGGAGACTCACCTCTTCCAGTCTCTGATCCTCCAGAGGATGGCTTTTTGAAATCTGGACTGAATGAAGATTCTGTAGGAAACAACACAACAACTAGAATGGATTCTCCAGAGAATGTTTGTTTGAAATCTGGACAGAATGACGATACTATGGGTAAACCACGGAAGCTTGTGTCTGGTAAATTCCAGTGGTTTTGGAAGTTTGGACGGAATAGTGGTGAGGAGGGGACATCTGAAAGAAGTGTCTCCAAAGCTACGAAAGCTTCCATTGGTGCAAGTGATCATCAGAGTAATGAAGAAGCCTCTTCAATGGTAAATGTATCTACCAACTCTTCTTTAAGTAGCAAAGGTGATACTGTGGACCAGAATGTAATGATCACATTGAAGAATCTTGGTCAGTCCATGCTCGAGAATATTCAGGTAAATTATTTGAATATTTATTGCTTAGATATATGTAAGACTCTTGTTTTAGGATTGTCCTCAACTTGAAGGCCATGTTTGTTTGGGTGGACATGGCTTTGGAATTGGATTAATAATCTAACAAAATGCATAATTTGATGTTTGGCTAGGAAGGTTTGGGTTTGGATTATCGAATCCCAAGACAGCAGGTGGGATACAAAATGGAGGACTAAAAGTAGGGATTCAGACTAACTGGTTAAATTACAAAATCGATAGATAATCCTTAGCCAATCTAAACATGGGATAGTATACACAATCCAAAGGGATTGATATTAGTCCTGAAAATGTTAATCCCATCTAATCTAGTCCATCCAAACAAACATGTCCTAACTGTATATGTTATACCCAAATGTGTTGATACATTTCGGTTGTGGTGTTTGCTTTATTTGAGCATATAATCAAATCTAACATGGTCTACCTGAGCTGAGTGTTACCTTTGGCACTTTTGTGTTTCCCTTCCTAGTTGCTGAAGTTTCTTACTTGAAATTTTACAGTTGGATCTTTTATTTACACATACCTTAAATAGCTGGCTCATCATAGTGTGATATGAACTTACTGATAAGCATTTAGGATTACCTTTGAGTGAAAACTTGGTAACAATACCACTGCGTAACTCTTCATCTCTCTCTCTCTCTGTCTAACCATTTACATTGCTTCAGGTAATCGAGTCGGTGTTCCAGCAAGAGAGGGGACAAGTAGAGAACTTGTCTAAAAATGTTCTTGTGGGCAAAAGACAAGTTACAGCGGTGGCGGCTCTCACGGAGCTTCGGAAAATTAGCAACCTTTTATCAGAGATGTGAGGTTGAAATTATTTTTATAGGTAATAATAAGCTGTAAATACCCATTTTGTAATTACTGATATTATTATTAGTCTTTCTCCAAGTCCCAAATAAGTGAGTTTCTTCTGCTTCTCATATTTTTACTTCTCCCCTCACCCTCATCCTCCCTGCAATTCAAATTCTGTTTCAGAGTGTTAGATACCAATGTGTAAATATGACTTGCTTATTGTAATATTTGATTGAGAATTGTATTTTCTTTATGAAAAATTAGAGCAGCTATTTAATCACTCAATGCAACTAAAAAGAAATTAATGATGCTAAACATTCTAATGGACTTTTTAACACCTTTCCCCCCAACACACAACTCTTTTTAATGAAATGTTCAATAAATTTTATTTTTTATTTTTTAATTTGTTAAATTACACTTTACATTTTTGTACTTGTATTGAATACCAATATGTGGAATCTCAATTGGTCAGTAGTGGACTCTTTACACTATTGGTCAATTTGTCATTCAAGTGTTTGTCAGTAAGTGGGATTTGCACTTGAATTTGTAAGATTGCGATTAATTGAGAGAAAAAAGGGAAGAGAGGGGAGAAGGTGGGAGTCTAGGGGGGAACTATCAAGTTGGGTGGTGGTTGAGAGAATAAGATCTTATTTGGTAACATTATTTTTTAGTTTAAAAGTTAAAAAGTTATTAAAAAAAAATTATAAGGTCAATAATTTATATTAAAAAGTTAAAAAAAATTTCTTTTTTTTTATTTTTTGTACATTTTTTTTTATAAAAAATTAAATAGTCATTTCAAACATATTAGTTTTTTTTTTTTTATCATATTTTAGTCAAAAAATTTAAAAGTTACTGAAAAAGCTTCTTCTCAAATGAGGCCTAAGTAGGGGTGATAAATGAACCGAATAGTTATTTGTTTAAATTTAAGTGAAATTTTTTAATGAATTTCAAAATTTGTTTAAACTCGTTTCGTTAAATTTTTGAATTGATTTCAAATGAGTTTTTGCTCAACCGAGCTTGAGTAGTTTGGTATTTTTATAATATTATACTCATCGAATTGAACCAAACGAATAATTGATTGTTCAAACTTAATTTGAAAATTTTAACAAGTTTCAAAATGTATTCAAGTTTAGTTTATTTACTTAACGAATTGGATTCGAACGAGATTTTGACAAGTCAAACACGAGACAAGTTCAAACTGTTTGATTTGTGTATCACCCTTCTTATGGGAGGGAGAAAAGGGGGTGAAAGAGAGAAGGCAGTGGTGGGAAGGGATTGTTTGGGAGTGGGGAGTGGCAATGGTAGCGGGTAAGGTAATGATTGTGTTAAATTGGCTAATACAAATTAAGAGAAATTCCATGTCACTGGAATTTTCAAATTTTAATTACATATTCATGAAAAAATTTATGATTTTACTTTTTAATATTTATGAAGTTTACCATAAATTTTTAAAAAAAAAAAATTTAAACCTACACTGAGTTGAAATTATCCCTAAAATTAACATGTAAACCTTACCTTCTCTTCTTGTATTGACTAGAGGACTACTTCACAACTTGACCAAAATACAAGGATGGACTGTTAGGCTTTAGTCTAGGATGAAATTTTTTTATGATGTGTGCCTTTGATATAATTCCAAACCATATCATTTGGAGGTGCATGTAATGGTACATCTTCATCAGCATGAAAGATTGCTTTGGAAAAGCTTCATTGGCAAGAAAAGAAAAGAAAAGAAAAAATTATTTCCACAAGGTCAAGACCAAAGACGTCATGAAAAATAGACTTCACAATTCATTTGGTCAGCTTTTTTTCTTTTCTTTATCGGCATTTGGTCAGCTTAGTCGACTACTATTTCAATCAATGCCTAGTCAACCATGGCTGCTGTCCTTTAAACTAGAAACCAATCACAGTTTTTTTTTTTTTTTTTAATCGAGTGCTTATCTCTAATAACTCTTTTAGAATGATTTGAATTCAACGTCTTAAATTTTATCCTCAAATTTTTATTCCTCGACTAACCCCTTGAAATTGACTGCTCACATTGGATGGTTGGCCAAATAAGTCTGTAAGGCCTCAACTGATAAGGAGATACAGAGAAATGGAGTTCGAGCAGAAATACATTAGGAAGTTTTGGGTATTGGGCCTCCTCTCTTGAAATATTTGTTATGAGACAATACCCAAAACATTTTCTCAGGACTCGGGCCGCAAACGAACTGAACTGAGCCGAATTTTGTTAAACTCGAACTCGTCTCGTATACTTATCAAACTTGTTTATTGAGCTTGAGCTCGAGCTCGGCTCGATAAGAAACTGGACTCGAACTTGACTCGACTCAGCTCATTAATATTAATAAAACTCAAGCTTAACTCGACTCAACTCGGTTCGATAATTTTTTTTAAATATTATTTATATTATTTAAATAAAAAATATTATTTATATTATTTAATATATAAATAATGTATTTATACTACTATTTATATATATTTATATATTATTTAATATATCAATAATATATTTATTATATAATTTAAATAAAGATAATTAAGCCAAACTTATGCAAGCTTAAACTCGACTTATTTACTAAATAACCTAATATGTAAGCTTGAGTTCAACTTGTTTACTAAACGAACCGACCCAAGTCCAGCCGAATTTATTCATAAACAGTTCGATTCATTTGCAGTCCTAACCAGGACTAAGCTTAAATCTTTGATGTAAGGTATTGTCGCATTCCTTTTGAAGGTCATGATTCTAGCATGATTTCTTGGTAAGACAATTTGCAATAATTAAATTATTGTCTGTGTTGATGCAACGATAACAACTAGATCAAATCTGAGGCATACAACATCTAAATGCAAAACAAAATCAATCTCCCAAAAACAAAACAAAACAAAACAAAACAAAAACAAAAACAAAAGACACGAGAAAATTTCAGTTTTGACACCAATTTTCATGGCACATCTTGCCAAAGTTTGGTTATCAAATGATGCCATCAAAATACAACCATACACAAATTACGCATCATGTACCAGACAAACCTATGAGAATTTTTGGTGTTTTTACATTTATTTGTATTTAATAATAAATACTAAAAAAAGAACAAAACAACCATTTTCCCTCTCCTTTCCTCTTTCATCATATCCCATGGTCTACAACTCTGTTAGTTGGTACAAAATCTAATCCATGTTGTGAAAACCCGGAAGAAGGGAAGTGATGAAGCCAAAGACAATCATTTGGATCTCCTTAACTATTCCCCACCAGCGGTTGCCACCATCCGGTTCCACCACATGCTCATGCTCATGCTCATGCTCATGCTCATTCTCATTCTCATTCTCATTCTCAACTGCCGCCTGATTTATGTCAATTAGAGGCTGATTCTCATTCTCGGCATGTCCCTCTGCAACAAAAGCCATAATAAATGTTTAATAGCACACAATGTTTTCTATTTCTCTCCCTCACTGAAACTGATATTTTTCTTGGGATGAGTTTGTTTAGACTAAAATGATGGAAAATGTGGGAAAGCGAAAGAATTAAAACTTTTTTCTGAGTTTGTTTAACATGAAAGTAGTGGAGACTACAAAAAAGTTAATCTTTGATGAACAAGCCCATATTAGCATGGTAATTAAGATTTTAATTTAACGCAAAAAACACAAGAAAACACAAAAATTTAAATTTGTCCATGCCAGAAGTAACCTACAGCTTTTTCTTACAAAATTTTCATCCTAATAGACTGTTTACAAGAAAATATATTTTACTTTCTATTTCTTTCCTTTCACTTTCCCGATCACATTTTTTTTTTTCCTTCCAATGCTGATAATGATGGAAACAAAAGGACTGCAAAAGACTCAATCAAATACACTGAGAAAGCAGGACCAAGAGTTGGCCTAATGGATGAGGTGCTCTCTTACTTACTGGGTGTGATACCCGAGTTCAAGTCTTACAGCTGCCTGATGCAGCTTCCTTTTCTCCTATTCCCCTCGTATCAATGTAAATATATATGTAATGCGACTTTTGAACTTGAATGAAAAATTCATGGTTTCTAGATAAGCTATGCCCCAAGACCAAACTAGTTTTAATTATAAACTGAACAAACCATACATAAATATGATGTCTTCGGCTCAGTGCCAGTGAATACTGATCAGAAAATTTATAAACAAGAGAATTAAGTGCATATTTGATTTTGGTGTAATAGGTCATCAAAATCAAAAGAATCAATGAACCGTAGATGTACATAAAGCTAAGTGAAAAATGGAAAATTTTGTGTAGTTGATTCTTCCAGTGAAAAGAACTTTTAAGTGATATCTTAATTGTACTGGAAACAAAAAAAATCATGTTCAGCCCTATCCACTATGACCTACATCACCAGACTGCCCTAATAAGGAATGGGCTAAATTGGGTGTGCAACAACCACGGTGCTTCATAACTACTCAAAAAACAAAACAAAGATAGGATACAAAACATGAACCAGATAAATTTCATTTTCTCCTTTTTTTTTTCTTTTGGAAAAAAAAAAAAAAAAATCAAATTTGATTGATTAGGTTGAGGATCTTGGCTTTGCTTCGGAGCCCCCAATGAAGAGGTGTTGCAGTATGCTAGAGTTGTAATTCTAAGATCCTCATATTGATTTTGGGTGCAATGAACGAACGATGACTCGCAACTTCTCATGAATGCTCTACCATTTGCAACTATAGACCTTCACGAGCCCCTATTCCGGAGGCATTGCTAACTTTACAGATTTTGCCACTAATTTTATGGCAGGGAAGTGGAGGGATAAAACCAGAAGTAGCAAGGGAGGAGCAAGGTTGGCACTGTCATCAAGGCCAAAGGAAAAATCTCAATTGGAAGCTATTTCTCTATTTATGTATTAATTTTTTATACGAATTGTTTAATGCAAAATTTGTTTCTCTTTGATTCTTGTAACTTAAGTATATGGATTTATTTACAAGTTTGTCATTGGAGGCCTTTAAAAAATGATATTTTTTAGCTTTCTTTTCAATAATTCTTTGGATAAAGAGGTATTTTCAACCTTTTTCGTTGAGTACCTGCACAAAAATTGTTTTTTTTTTTTTTTTTAGTAAAAATTACTTGGAATCAATTCCTGTTGTTGCTAAAAAGTTTTTCTGGGCGGCTTTGGACAAATAGATTTTTTAATTTTTATAATTTAACTGCCTTAAGACGATGAGAGTTCCACGACCTTTGCACAATTTTTTTCTAGCCTTTGGAGATGGAAAGATTATTTTTTACTTTTGTTGGATTCTCTTTCAGACAATTAAGGTTTTTAATTTGTTTAGGTTTGACTATTAAGAGCTTGGGGCCTAAAGCCATTGTTTCAATGGCTTGTGCCTTATGCCAGCCCTAGAGAGGTGGGAGGTGGTAGCGAGGAGCTGGTGGGGGAGGTGACTAGAAGGAGTGGGTGGGAGTGGTGGGAGGGGTAAGTGGGTTGGGGTTTGAAAATAGAATATGTAGAGGAGCAATTTTGTCACTACACATTGAAATTTGACTGAAAAAACCACGTGCGAAGCAATTGCATATTTTCGAAAGTAAGGTGAAGTACTACTAGGCCATACCACATGGGGAGAAGTGAAAGTGTATTTTTCCATAAAGCAATATTTAATAGTTAAAAAACTCTTTCAAAATCTCCTCATTTTTCATATTCATTTTCTTTAATTGGCAATCCTAATTTCCTTATGCTATATTACTAATTTGTTAGTCTACAATAAAAATATGAATTTCCTAATAGTAAGTTACTAATTAGAAAAATTAAGAGCCACTTAAGAATTTTAATTGTCAATCCTAATTTCCCTTAAATATTTCCTTATGAATTTTTTTCTCATAAAAACAAAAGAAAAAAAAAATCATAAAATGGTCTCTCATCCTTTTGTGCACTGCATATAGCCATGTGTGTGTGCGCACGGGCGCACGTGCGTGTTCGCGTGCAAGTGTTTGTGTGAACAGCAAAACAGATATAAAGCACCATTATTCCCATTTTCCCAAAATTAGAATGCCTGGATTGGGAATGTATATTTAGGCCTCGTTTGGGGACTTACCTTTTTAGCCAAAAAGCCAAAAAGTTACCTTTTTAGCCAAAAAGCCAACAACTCATACCAAAAAGTCAAACATTCTCTTTTCTCTCTACTTTTTGCACATCTTTTCGTAATTAGCCAAAAAGTCATCCCAAACATATAAGTATTTTTTACCTACTTTTTTAGCCAAATAGCCAAAAAATTACTAAATTAGCCTGTTCCCAAACGAGGCCTTAGTATCCACATTCTTAAATGCATGTGTTAGAATATAATATGTAAAATGTTGCTTTAATAATTAGGTTAGTATAATAATTAGTATGCTTTAATAATGTACCTTTAATAATGTTGTTTGGTTTGTGCTTCTACTTTCGGTTTGTAATTGTTCTCCCTCTCCTCTATAAAGGAGAGAGCTCAACACACCATAAGATACATCAATCAATAATATCAATCATCAATACATATTTCATTCTCTCTATTTTTCCATACATCAAATTTAACAGCATGCAACAATTATAATAGTCCCAGAGTCTGCCACTAGAGTATTCAGAATCCCAAATATAAACGAAATTTAAAATGCAGGTAGAACATACCTGCTCCAGCAGCATTCTCATTCCCCTGCCTCGCGGCAGGAGGGACATTCTCTGCCCTAGCAGCCGGCCTTGGTGGTTGGGGAGGTGCAGCTGCCCTTGGCATTCCTTGTGAAAGCCATCGTATCAGTGGAGCGAGAGCTCCAGTTTGATATCTGTAGGACCCAAGAACAACAAAGTTCAAATTCTGCTCTTAATATTTAGGAACATGAATGCACAACAAACATTATACATACATCTCTGGATAACTCTCAATTAAAAATCAAAGTTTATATGTAAGCTAGGTAAGTGAAAGCTTGAGATTTCTTTCCTTCCCCAAGCAGATGAATAGTAGAAGTTGTGCACTGAACAATGTCATATTTAAAATAGGAAAAGAAAAAATGAAGTTTAATGACTTACAGATAAACAAGTGAAGCAAAAAACACGAGGAGAACAAGCCTTTGCCTTGACCCATCTTGGTTGAACAAAAATATTACTGCAGCCAGCTTTAGTATGAGTAAAAGGTCAAGCTGAATAGCAATTTGAAATCTCCTCACAACAACTTGTCTTTGAGGTGCTGGGTGTTGGTGTTGGTGTTGCTGTTGTTGCTGTCCCGCGTGCCCTTGCTCGTCAACCACAGTTGTAGCCTCAGAAGAACTTGGTCTAGTACTGATGCCATGCACGAAACCACAATATTTAAAATGAGAGAGTATAAAAAAAAATGAAACCACTTGCAAAATGCATTTATATGCATAATCCGTTAAATGAACAATGATACTAAAAAATGTCATAATAAATTATAGTTCTAATAGTATTAATACTAATCATTATTGCCACCACAACCACCATTACAATTGTTAGTGTTGAAGTTGTTATGATGATGATAAAGATGATGGACTGCTATCCTAAGCAGATGAACAATATATAATGAACAGTGTCCATGTTTGATACCATATTCTGTGTTCGTTCTATAACATTAGGGTTGACAGCCAACTACTATCACCATAATTATTTTTTCCCATCTATTTCATGTAGTGATATCAACCAGGGACGACGATAAGGAGGATATGCGGGTGCTGTGGCCCCCAAAGCTCTAATTGTTCTCTATATGTAATTTTCCATAAGCCCCTTTAAAAATTAAAAAAATTCCAATACCCCCTCGATCTATTTTAAGTACACAAGGACCCCTTAAAGAAAATTTTTGGCTTCGTCCCTGATATCAACACAGTTCTAAAAACATTTTTATGGTGTAGCTAATGGATCAATTCTCAAGGGAGAACAATAACTATGAATCCAGTTGGCTAAAGAGTTACCAAACCTATTCCCATATTATCAAGCATAAGAAAACAAGTTTGAGTTAGGCACATATAAATGCAAAGAAATATCGAAGGTCAAGTCTACATCCAATCAATCCCTCTTGGTTAGCACCTATGAAGCACGGATACTTCGAAAATGTTGCCATACTCGTACCAGGTACTGATACTCGTATTGATAGGACTACATGCATACCGGATACTAGAAATACATAGCGGGTACTTTTTATACATTCTTTGGCAGTTGGGTACTCCATAGATACTTCATGGGTACGTGATAAGTACATGGGAGTACACCAAGCTATGGGACATCAGTGGAGATACGTTCAATTTATTAGAGAGTTTTAATTTACTTAAAATTTGCAAATCATTTACTTCATGTGTCAAAGATTAAAGATATATTATTCAACAATGAAGTTGATGGCAGTGAAAACTGAAATTTCAAAATTTCAAATTTCGCTTAGCTAGCTTGCTTTTGGAATGAAATTTTGTTTTGTAATTTCTCTTATTTAGTGGCATTAAAATAACTTACAGACTTTGCTTTGGTATTGGCATTGTTGAACTATGATTTCTCTTCTAATTTTGTAATTTCTCCTTTTAGTTTTGGTATTGAAGTTTGATTTGTAAATTGAATTTCAAACTATAAATTATAAACAATAAAAGAAAATTATTGACTTACCCTAGCCGTATCTGTATCTTATTTTTTTGGATCTTGCCGTATCAGCATACCTGTACCAATATCTGTACCCGCATCTGTGCTTCATACGTTAGCACCCAAAATAGAAAAATTGCCACTAGGTGATGGTCATTCAGATTCAATTTAGTTATGTAAATATTAATTAGTATCGTCTATTACAGAGAAAATCATACACTTCCACCAAGTTAGTACATTCACCCCTTGTAGACCACCTTTAGAAGGGATTTTTATAATTGAGGAGGTCAATATGAAGAGGTTCATAGATAAGCAAATAAAATGATATTCGCTAATAATTGAAAGGGTCTTGGTATAATTAACCCTGAAAAATTTTATATGCCAGGCAATGTTACTTGGAAGATCACTGGGTACACAAAACAAAAATATGAACATGATCATTGATACATGCACTAGAATGTGATACTATACTAGTGGACTATATAAATTACATTATTGGAATGGATTTGTGTACATCAATATCTAAAGTGATTTTCAATTAACAATTATACATGCAATAAAACTTAATTTATTAAAATGTATTTCCATTTATTTCTAAAGTTCTCCTATATTCATATAAATTATGAAGAATTCCATGTAAGTTAAACTATTGATGCAGTGTGACCTTGTCTTTAGATCTTCTGAAGCCCAAAAATCCATTCTTTTTAGGTCTTAATTCATTACATTTGATGGTTTTTCATCATAAGGACAATACTACGGAAATAAATAGACAAAAAATGTATGGACCCCTAAATTTAGTATTTTGGAATAAAAGCGTACCCTTTTTAAGAACGTGCTTAAAAAAAGTAATGCTTTATGGTATTAGTGTTTTGGTAAATTTGGTTAGGCCTACGGCCAACCGTGTTAAGTAAATGATGCAAAGAGGCAACTCTCAGTATAGAGTTGAGACACAAGTATTAGAGCTCTATTTGATACAGCTTGTATAATGTCACATGCAAAACCAAAACCTTAGCGGGAAAAAAAATAAACTTTCTTTCTCTACAATATTCTAGGCTTACATATTCAATTTTATCTAAATACTTGCATTTACAAAATGAATTTTTTGAAGGCATCAAGTGAGATTTTTAAAGAAGTTTAAAAATTTTGGTTTTTTAACCTTGTAAAAAGTTAAAAACATTGTTGTTGAGTTGTTACTTGAAAATTGAAAGTTTGTCTTTGTTTGCTTTCTTTATTAAGAACGGTTGATAAGAAATAGTATTTAAAAAGGAAAAGGTGAGGTGGTAAACATGGGAACCAATGTTAACTTCTTACCCAGATGACATGATCATCATTTAAAACAATATTTTTATTGATTTATGTCTAAATATTTCATATTTATTAGATATATTTAATATCTAAGTATGTAAATATATTTTCTATGTAATTAAAAAAAGGTAACTGAATCTTTACGATTTACGATTCGATTCGAATCGCGATTCGGTATAATACCATTTCGATTCACGATTCGAATCCCGATTTGACAACTATGCTCCCAAGCATAAACTAACAAATGAGTTCCAATTGGCCTGCTATCTCACCTATTATCAAGCCATTGTACTAGAGAGCGGCAAATCTATCCAACAAATAAAATGAGCATATTATTATTATTATTATTATTATTTTAAAAGAAGTAGAAGAAGAAGAAACTACGAGGTAAATATACAAAAGTGACCACCAAATTTGGCAAATGTATAAGCGATGAATAAGCCTACAAAGTGTTAACTTGATTTTTTTTTTTTTGTATAGAAGAAATCACCAATCAAAATTTTTTTTTTTTTGGAGGGGATAAATGAAGGTAACCTTTTATTAAGGCCTAGTTTGACATAATATAAAAAAGTTAAAAAGTCAAAAAGTCACTATCCTATTTAAGTCATATCATCTCATTTAAATCACATCATCTCTCTACCACATCACTTCAAATCCAACCCATATTTCACATTTTTTCGTAAAAAGTGAAAAAGTACACTTATTTAGATTATCCTAAACAACCCCTAAAAGAAGGGCATCGAGACGATGCTAAAAAACTACCAAATTGTTCACTTAATATTGGTCACATGAAATACACATTTCACAAACATACTAACAAAGTTGAATATTAGTCACACTATTAGCTCCCAGCAATTACATAACAGAGAAACTTACGTGGGTATACTGTAGGTGAGAGGGACAAGAGCATTGGGCTGAAATCCAGCAACGGGACCCATAAATGAGAGGACAGGAACAGCATATATGCCTGCTCCACGGTTCATCTGTTCCTGGTTCTGTGAATTGTATAACCCGGGAACAAGTGCAGGGTACATGATTGGAAACATCTGAACACCATTTGGTAAAGCGCCAGGGCCACATAATGCTGGTCCCTGAGACATGAAAGCCAAAGTAATTAAGACAACTGAAAAGATTAATATGATGCACAAGCACAACGCATTAGAAGCATGTCTACATGACTGGTACTTTGGTCCAGCCACAAAAGATTTGCAATTTTTAGTTTCCCTCTCTCTGAGTCTTTGCCTTTTCCATTATTTTTCCTTCTTTTCATCACTCACATTAGCAACATATTTCATCTGCTAAGATCGGAGTAATTATCAAATTTTACCAAAAACAGGGGAACGAGAAGAAAGTCTAAAACAACATAGAGATGAGCCACTTCTAAACCTTTCAAAGTCCAAAACCTTTGGTTGACAAGACACTCTCATTCCAAAAGTCATAAGGGGCATACTTTCACCACAAACATATTTCTTCCCAAAAGAAACATGGTTGGCGAGTATTCCTTTCAAGTATAAAAGCTAGAAGCAACTGTTTCTTAGAACCTGATTGCCTAAACACTGGATAATTCTTTAAAAGAATTTAGTAGCTTGCTGATCCTAAAGGCTGTGGAAAATGTGGCTCACTTCCATTGCATAAATTGAAAACAATTATAGCACTACAAATTTTTATTTTTATTTTTATTTTTTGGAACCATGGCTATGGTTAAGCACTTGAACTTAGGGTGAGATTGTTGATGCTCCCTAATAAGTGCTGCTGTGCAAAAATGAGACAGAGAAGGCCAACCATTTTCACATTTCTTTGTCTAGCAACACTCTTTAAACCTTTTTCCTCCTTATTGGGTATCTTTTGGGTCATGCCCAAGTCAATCTTAAATTTGTCTCGAGGCTAGTGGATTAAATATGATTAAAAGTGGAATGTAGCTCCAATATGTGTTCTTTCCTCCATGTATAATGAGCAGAACAATGTAATCTTCGAGAATTAAGAACTCATTACTTGAAACTTAAAAATATTATCGTAGGATCTCCTTAGTTTGGTGCTCGCCATCCTCATCTAAGCTAGATTTTATTGGAGTGTGTAACTGGTTCTAATCAGACTTCCATGTAAAATCGTTGTATGCTCACACATATATGGTGACTAGACCTTTCATTCTTTAGATGAGATGTTTATCCTAGAGGCGAGGAATCAAAAGCTGGTACAGTACTATTTTGTTTGGTTGCTGGGTAAATTGACATTCATAAATATGTTACAGATCTTATACAATTCTTAGGACCAACCAAATTTAGTGCTAAGAACATCTACTATTAGATGATGTTGCCCCTCCATATCATAGTTCAATATTTCACTCCAAAATTTACTACACTCCTGGATCTCTTTGGACCAAGTCATGATAAGATCTACTATACATTCCAACTCCACCAAAGATTCAAATCCTTTCACGTACTTCATAATAGGGATATTCACAGGTTGGTTCGAGCTGGGTTTGCTATTGGTCTATCAACCAAACCGAATGTTTCAGGTTGGAAGAGTTCTCGTCCGTTGTCGACCAACCACCTCTTTGAAATGGACCAAGTCACAACTTTGGTTTGACAGTCGGTGGCAGTCGGTTGTAGTGAGAAGATTCAGTAGTTAGCAAGGATGTATATATAAACATATAGATATATAAATGCTTTAGTAGAAGGATACAAATCTTAAAATATACATATGTGGATATAAATCAAAGGATGTACAAGGACAAAAAGGATCAGATCTGAAGTATAGAAGAAATCACCAATCAAAATCTCAAATTTGGTTATGCCTTCATTGATGCCACTGTCATTGTATCGCTTTACTGAGGGAGAATGGACTATTAACCTCCATCATTGCCATGAGAGAGATTAAGAGTTGAGAGCCAGAATTCGACTCGGTCCGATTGAAACGTGAAGGTATCGACTGAGATCAAGGGTTTCATGGAAGAGATCAAGAGATAGACTCGGGAAATGAGATATCAAAGAGATGAAGAGCCTTTTGATTTCTAAATTTTGTTGGGAAATGTGAGAAATTATATTTTCCAAATTTGTTATTAATGGGTAGAAGATAGCTTCATTGAGAAATGTGAGAGAATTGACTTTTTCAAATTGTTCATTGTTGATCATAATCTCAGTAAAACCAACAAATTCATGCCACCTATACATAATCTCATCTTTATATATATATATATATATATATATTCAAATGGGTCAGTTTTAATAGGTGGGCATAATTTTTTTTTGATTCAAAAAAAAGTTTAGGAGGAGGGGAGGCTACCCCATTCCAGGGACAGGAAAGCGTTACGCAATATCACCCATCAACAACGGACTGCCGGCAGCGGGACTCGAACCTAAGCCAAATGAGCGAAGGGAACAAGCCTTACTTAATAGGTGGGCATAATTTGAAAACTGTTACCGTCCGAGAATCCAAAATAATCGATTGGGATTAAACCACTGGCAACTGTTCATTGATTCAAAATTGACTGGAGCTTCGGTTTCAGTTGGTTTGGACGAGTGGGTTGGGTTGTGCGTTTCACTGAACAGCCCTACTTCGTAATTCACATGTAGAAAAATCACAAGAAAATTATTGCTTTCTAACCCCAAAACAGCAATAACTAATGGCAACTATGCACAAATTTTCAAAGTTGGAACACAATGAGCACATATTCTAGAAAAAAAAAAAAAAAAAGGAAATCGGTTGTTCCTGATAGCTTTTCTTTCTTCTTTTAATACTCTGAAATATGTTTCCATCAAAATTTCATCGTAAATGTAGCCATCACTTGGACTATTCTATACTTTTAAAGCTTTAAATCTCCTGAGGCTCCTGTATCTGTTCCAGCTCGTATTATCTTTCCTTATGATAAAAGATTCAACTTAATCTTACTAAATGAAACTTGTAAATACCAGTACAACTTCACGATATTTCATGGTCTAATGACCTCCAAAAAGCAGTGTGAAATAGGGACAAAGCAATAAATTTTGCGTAGAGGGATTTTTATACATACAAACAAAATATGCATATTACACAGTTTATGACATGACATTGATGCAATTTTACAACAATAAGGATCTTCAATTTGAATTGTACATATGAGACTTACTTTATTTCTTACATTTCTTTTCTCATATATAAATATATAATAAAATTTTTAAAATATCTATTTTTTTAAAGCTTATGTCCACCTTCACACTATTTAAGTCAAATTTTTTGCAAACTATTTTCATTAAATCCTTTAGGTTGTGCTTGTATTCATGGATTCAAATGAGTGGATTTGGATTTGATTATTAAAGAAATCTGACTTACTATATCAACAAATGGATGAACGATTTGAAGGCGAAGATAGTTATTTCGAATCCATGATAACAAGGATTCTAGCTAAAACATCTCAACTTAAAGCCTTTTGATTGGGTCTTTAATCCAATTCTAATACCTAACTCTCCCATGCATTTGCAAATTAAAACCCGAAGGCTAGGTTTGGCATTCCCTAAAAAGTAAAAAATTCACTATACTATTCAAATTACGTCATCTTATTTAAGTCACATCACCTCTCTCTCTCACGTCACTTCAAACTCAACCCACTTCAAACTCAACCCATATTTCATCAACCCATATTTCATAAAAAGGAACATCCAAACAACCCCTAAATCGTTGGTTTCTGAAAAATAAAAAAATAAAAAAAATTCACAAATTAACACCAATCAAACAAACCTAGAACAGATCTTCACCAAAAACCCAATAAAACCATGAACAAAACAAGTATAAACCCTAATGCGATACATGCCAAATAATTGAAACAGTTAAGATATTCAACAAAGGAGTGAAAAGAAAAAAAGAAAAAAATTTAGGGACATGGAGAACCTGATGCTTGGGAGGGTCTTCGGAAGATATCTTAGAAGAGGATTGTTGTGAGGTCGAGGTGTGTGTCGGTGGTTCTTCCGCCATTGGAGCGCTCTCTCTCTCTCCCTATCGAACATACAGCGACTTGTATAATAATTATGAATAATTATAAAGATGAAAATATTTATATTTAAATTTATACAAATATAATTATTGATTTTAATTAATGTGTTAATGACGTGCTATTTCGTCAAATAGCCAATAATATTACGCCATATGGATTACGTTCAATTGGGCCTTGTGAAGTTATTTGGTAGTCCTGAGAGATGGCCACATGGTATCTAAGGAGTGTTCTGATTAATAAAAAAAATAGAATTTACAATTTTGTGTTGAGTTTTAAAGAATATAAAGAAACATAATAATTTTTGATTGATTACAAATATAATCACATAATACTCCTAAATTAACAAATAATTGTTTGGTGTTCAAAACTTATAACCAAATAAATTTTTCACACTCAAATTATAATTCTAAAACTCACAAACTCAAAATATAATTTTATTCTCAAATCATAATTTTAAATCTCTAAGCAACACTAATTTTTCCATGATGTCTCATTAGGTAGTCTCAATAGATAGTATTAGGGGTGTCCGCGGATCGGTTTTGTGCGGTTTGCGGTTCGGTTTTGACCCGCCCGCATCTATGCGGTTTAGGAAAAAGTCAACCCGCAACCGCCCGCAGTGCGGTTTGCGGTTTGTGCGGATAGGGTTTGTAGATGTGCGGGCGGTTGCGGGCGGTTTGCAGTTTACACTTTTTTCTTTAAAAATTAATTTTTAAGTTTTTTTTTCCATCAAATTTAAGCATTAGATTCATTTTATATATTTGTAATCATTTGATAACAATTTTCTGATGAGTTTACAAATAAAAATTTAATATCACTAGCATTTTTGTCATGAAAAAAATGTATATCAATGTATTAAAGGTTGTACTCAATTAGAATTGTCAATTCAGTAATCAATAATCAAACTAGAAGCTTCATCGATCACCAGAAGAAAAATTTTATTAGGAAAAGTAGATGAGTCATCAATGAAAATCATATAAGAAACCAAGTTTAGGACTTGATAATTCTACGACATTAAGAAAGTTGAGAAATATTTAAAAATAAGGATCCTAGTGTCATAGAGAACATAATGATACTCCTGTTAAAGTTACAAAGTTGATATATAAAAAATAATAATAATAATACTAATTAAAGTGCGGGCGGTTTTTGCGGGTTGCGGTTTTAACCCGCGACCCGCCCGCAACCCGCAAATTTGTCATATTTCAAACCGCATCCGCGCCGCATTATGTTTGCGAAACCGCCCATTTATATGCGAGTTGGGCAGGTTGGGCGGTTTGAGCGGTTCGGATAAACCGTTGCCCACCCCTAGATAGTAATAATGATTAATCACCAAAATGTCGATAGTTGTTATTCAGTTGAATTTTTTTTATTTTTTTTATTTTTTTTAAGATTATCCACATCAACTCTAATAAATGTAGGTTTTAGTTAAATATAGATAATAAATCAAAAAATTCTTACTCCATCAATCTCAACAAATTATTTCTAAATTAATTTTTTGTTAATTTGCTACAGTACATCGCCACATGTAATGATATATTGTTCACAGATATATAATATTTTATTATTTATTTTTAAGAGTGACCAAACAACCTACCACTTATCCGACCGGACATCCTACCGGATGGTTGGCTACTACACATTTTTTTTTTTTTTTGAATATGAAATTGCATAAATATAATAACAATACGGGAGCTTTGGATATCCGAGCAAACAACCTAGTCATTTTTTATTTTTATTTTTTTAAAGTTAATATATTAACAATACAAAATTAGCAACTTCTGGTTGCTTTTTAACAATACAAAATGAATATTTTTTTAAATTAAATTTAAGAATATGGAGTCTGATGAAGTGTGTGTATATAAAAAATAATTAAAAAAAATTTGCTAGCTAAAATAACAAAAGTAACCTTTTGGTTATAATTTGACTCAAAATTTGCTGAGGCTAATACGGAAGCACATTTTGAAAAGTTGTTGAAAAATTAGTCAAAAAAATCATTGGAAAATCGCTGACAGCTGGTGTCGGTGAAGTGGACAGATATATGACATTAGATAGATACTGTGGGTGCTGATTTCCGACCACATTGCCAAACAAGAACTCAGCAAGAGATCACAGGTAGAATAGATTACGCCCAAATAACTTGTCACAGAAAGATAAGACTCCGGCAGTAGTTCGTCCACCCGGAGGCCCTCCGACAATCAAGTCAATACTCAGTTATCTCTCAAAGATACAAACAGTGCTTAACTCACTAGCCAGAATATAAAAAGTGTACCTTAGACCCACAATGGTGCCTTGCTTTTATAGCCAGCACTATCCTGATCTCGGTAGAAGCCTAGCTTCAATGGACTATGGCTCAATGCTCATCCTGGACTCCCTAGCCAGATAGAGATAAACTCCCTAAGAGCTTTACCTTTATCCATACTAAGGCCCTTCCCAGTTCTAAGACTCCTGTCCCTTATCCCCTCATCTCGGATTCCGGTATCTCCGCAGATAATATCGGCTTAGCCGAGAGCACCTCGGCAACATGACCAAGACACGTGGCATCTCGGCTGACACTTCGGTGCCACCTTGGCCACGTGTTGTCATTCACAAAATATGTCCCCACAACTGCCCCGTAGGTTCTATTACCTCGGCATCCTGAGGTGATGGAACCTATATCGTTCGTCCACATAGCACGTCAGCTAAAACATACTCCATCCTCCATGATCGAGATCATCACACGTCGCCTTGACATGACCAAGACTCTACAGTCTACTTTATCAATGACCAAGAACCAAAAACCTAGTTCTTCAAGTTCCATAACCAGGACCGTTCCTCTAGCCGAGGTTTTTGCCTTATTAAATCAAGAACTTCAAGAGTTCCATCTGCGCATGAGCTATCACGCACAGTTTTCTCAACCATTTTATCCACGCGTCATTTTCTCATTGATTCGTACCTGACATGCGCCATCAGGTCGCATCGCTTCTGCGCACGCCGCCTGACAGACACGTCGTCCAAGGCATATCATTATGGTTTGACACCTTTTCACGTTTTAACAAAACATCTCCCTTTCTCTCTGTTCCTCCACTTTCCATTCTTGCATTCTTTCTGCGTTTCAAGATTTTCTCTCTTAACAAATTCTCTATCTCCATTGCTGTTTTCATCGAGCTCTTTACAACTGTACTCCGTTCATTCCCTCTGGCGAAGCTTTCACCATTCTACTCCACTTATTTCCGTTGTCTGACTCCGGCGAACCTCAACCTCGGACCCAACTGGTGAGTCTTTTGTTCTTTTTCAATTTTCAGTTTCAATCTTCCATGATTTTGAATACGTTTCCCTCTTTATCATCTGCCCATTTTTTGTTATTGAATCACTTGGGTGTAAAACATGCTTGCTTGCGATACTGTGTTGTTCAATCTATATCTAGGTCCGTACACACAAACTATTCATGCACTTGAGACTCTAGGAACTTTACCATTGTTTTGAGTTTTTGTACATCTACACACACTTACTTAGTGTTCTTGAATTTCTTGAGTCTGAATCATGTTTTCTTTTATGTTTCTCTTCATCTTGTTTTCAGATTCTTGCCACTGATTCTCTGTTTCCATATAGATTTAGGCTTTGGGATTTGATAGAGAAATCACACACTTAGGAAAATTGAAACAAACTCCCCTAAATCTTGAAAAATCCTTGCCCCAGTTCATGTTTAGGGTTTTAGCCGAGGTCTTCAAACCCACATCAACCACTCTCCTCTGAAATCTTGCACATTCCTCCTTTAGCCGACATCATGGGTATGTTCAGGTGGAGGGTAGATACCTCAAAAAAACTTGAATACTTTAGGAAAGAGTCCTCCATCCCAGCTGACATCCATCTTAGGTTAGCTGGGGAGGAGGACTCCATCATGCCTGATGGGGATTCCATGCCCTTCCCAGTAATGGCCTTTATAGAGTGTGGACTCCGGTTCGCTTTAGACATTCTTTTTAGGGAGGTCCTTCACTATTATAAGCTCAACCCTATGCAGTTAGCCATCAACTCATACCGGGTTATCAATGGCATAATTAAACTAGCACACCAAGAAAAAGCTAAGATCACTTTAGCTGACATTCAATTTTGCTATACCATGTGTGGCCTCAAATCCGAAAAAGACTACTTATACTACCTAAAGCCCAGATCTACCGCCTTCAAACTTATTGCCGCCTTCTCAGACTCCAACAAGGGTGCTGGAGATGATTACTTCATCATTTCGGGCAACTGGGAGTTCTTACCTGATGAAGACCTCCATCTCTATCCCTTGAGCCGAACAGTATTTAAAAAGGGTAATGGTAAGGACTAAGTCATTCTTCTGACCACACTTCTGTTTAGGACTTGTCAAATTGATATATATTCGTCTAAATACTTTTGCTTTCTTACTTTCTTTTTTGCAGCTCTCCCCCAGCCGGCAAAGGGATTTCGGTAATCCTTCATTCCCAGCTGAGATCTGAAGAGGTTGCTAGATCTCTCTCTGCAGAAGCGCAAGGCGCCTCTTCTACTGAACTACAAACTAACCTACAAGTCAGCTTTGCACGACATACCTCGCCGAAGCAAAACTCCCCTTTCTGCCACAACTCCACCAGCAACTTCATCTCCATGGCCAGATCAAGCTACCACTTCTAACCCAGCTAATCAACCATCTACCTCAACCCCTCAACTAATTCCTCCATCTCAGCCCAACGGATACGCCGAGTTCTAATTTCTGCCCCTGCCGGCAAAACTCGCAGCCGCAAACGTTGACTTTCTGAGTCATCGGCCTACAACCCAGAAAACTCACCTACTACACTTCCAGCTATCCGCTTTGGTACCAGAGTAACTATAGCCGCCACTGCTGAAGAGATGGGCTGCAAATTGGCAGTTGTTGAAGATCTACTAGCCAATATCCCCGGGGTTGTGACAGCTTAATTCTCGTCCTCCTCATCTCAACCAAATCCAAAGCCAAAAAAGATGAAGAAGGCCAAAACAAAGGCCACAGTGACTCAGATCAATTCTGAGGACACTGTGCCAATTTCCAAACTTGCCGAGGCTGAAAAAAGCACTCATTCTGCCGA